AGGATTTGTCGTAACTTTGAATGGTCCTTAGGCAACCAGTCATAAGTTAAGGACAACTTTACCAGTTAATTAATAGAATCAGACACAGGCCACATAGCTTTATACAGAACAGTCTACAAAGCCATCTTCCTTTCTTCTAATGTTCCAGTGATGAAAAAATGATACCCCCCCACAATTTTGGCATAAATTATGATAAGGTATAGGCATAATGTATTATGCTAATGTATTACTTCTTTATGTCTTTATCTTAGAAGAATGAGAAAGGAGAGGCAAAAACGTAGTCTCATATCGGCAGGGCAAAATCAGATGCTTACGCTGAACTTGTCTTGATGCTTTGTTTCCTGCATTACAGGGAGAGAGCTCTACCATTTCAAATACAATATTTACAAAGCTTCTATTTTCTATACACATTCACAGGGAAAAATAGTGATGCCACTTAAGGACTTTACTTTGCAGCAAGCATACTGTGAGATCGGTGCCCACACCAAAAAACATTTCAATTAGCTGCAAACCAACAGTTGGGATGACAGCCATCTGCTGGAAATGCCTGGCATTTATATTTTAATCAGTCTGATTCTCCAACAGTCATAACAAGTGCAGATGAAACCATGACAAATTCCACTGCTGCAGAAAATTAGGGTTCTGTGTGCTAGTCTTTCACTTGGCAAATTAAGAAGAAGCCTGCTGATCAGATTATCACTCCACTGAGTTTCGCATCTAGGAACTAGGAAAAACTAGAAAAAGGACATAATGGCAACCCTTTTCCTATCTATAGTGTCTGGAATTCAGAGGCATGCTAGTTAAAAGGCTTCCTGTAGGCTGGTACTCTTTCCTGCAAAGAAATACGGTATACCAAGAAAGGTAAGGCTTCTTTGTTAGCAGGGTTATCAGCACCTTCAAACTAACATACAATGTTATATTAGGCTGCTCATAAAGGAAAGATCTTCAAATCAGATTTTCCTGCAGAGTTTATTTTAGCTTTCTGATAATCAGTCTTTTAAAACCTTACACATTGCTTTAATGAATATTTCAGAGCAAGTAAAATTGCCAAGAATATCAGGTGAACAGAGAGTTGGCCAGTTGTTGTCATACTTAAAAGATTTAGTACGGGAATGGCAAAGAAAGACAACTTAACTATACATTTTTCAACCCTTTCATATCTGGAGGGGGCAGCAATCTCAGCTCTATCAGACAGCAGAGCTCAGAGTTTAAATGGGACGTTGCTGCCTTGCTTTTCCTGTCTGTCTGTCTGTCTCCCTCTCTTTCTCTGAAGTTGCCTGGACAGCTTCCTCAAGCTGGTGTTATCACTCCCTCTAACCACTCTTGGCAGGCAATCTAATTCCCCCTGAAAAGGTCACCGCCATTTTAACTGCCTTTCAATCACATTAGGAATGTGGCTGCTCGTGCCCACAGAACTATGCCTGCAGCTCTCCTGGCTAAGGTGCAATCGATAAACTGACATACCATTCCCCCCCACCCTCCCAGCAGTAGATGGCTCTTCCGCTGTGCCATTCAGAAGTACTGCTCCCTCCCCATTTACTTACTTTGGCTAAAGGAATGACACAAGATGCTGTTTGACCAAAACTCTCATAAAAGCAATACTGACATACCCAGAAAGATAAGCTTGTAGGCCTTGAATGAAATAGCTCAATTGTGAAAACAAGGGAGGGGTTGCTGGAGGATTGGACACATAGAAGCAGCCACATTCTGGGAACCAACCAGGCCCTTTCAAGACAGGTAGCCCCCCCCCAAAAAAAAATCTTCCACAAAACTATTTCCAGCTCCTTTCCCTGCAATCATTACGGTTATCTCTCCTACCTTCACCCTTTTTCCCTCAGTTACTACCATCATGTTTCCTCCATCGATCCTCATGTAAGACACTGTTTTAAGTCTGCTCACCTTTTGACTGCGCTAAGCCATTTAAGAGATGACAGCAACCTCTATCAGCACAAAGCCAATATGATTCTTTTCAGATAAAGCACTTTTGTCACCCGTTCTCCCTCCCATTCACTCTTTCAAATAGCAGACATGTTAAAAAATGCTAAGCTTTCAAAGAAAAAAAACACAACATTTTTGAGCCTCACTCTCTAATTCTTTAAAAGGATAATCTCACAGTGGAAACGCTTAATGAAAATGAGCAGCTGTTATTTGAAAACAACTGAAGAATTGCTATAAATACTAGGACTATAAATTAAGACAATAAAAAGTCAGTGTCTCTAGTTCTGGAGCAGAATACCATGTGGAACTTTAGACACATATAATAGAAGATAACCTTCCACAAAACCTAGCAGATAAGTCCAATAGGTACATTTGTTCCACTGACTGGGATCGCTACACAGAACTTTTTGAGCATGATAAATTTGCATCCTTCATCAAAGGATAGTATTTGCTGCTATAGGAGACCCAAGATAAGTGAATTTCACTTGCAAGGAGAACAGCTGCCCTTCACACAACCACAGGTTTTTACATAAATAGGTCTTTGTGTTTGTGTACGCATGGTAAAACAATGATTACCATTTTTTTAAATCAGAAAAATGTACCTCATTATCAGAATTTTAGGAACTATTGAGCTAAACAAAAGCAGGGAAAAAACCCCAAATAGATGGCACTAACCTGCCATGGCTGTGAAAGGAGTAAGATGGTATGATACAGGAAATTCATGAACTGCATGAATTGATAATTCACTAATAATCACCTGTGAAATACAGGTCTCAGCCTTACAGACCATCTAGTTAGATAAGATTCATACAGATCATGGTTGATGGGTTCACACATTTTGCTGAGCCATGGTTTGTTTTAACAATAAGGCACATATTTGGATTTCTCATCATTCTAAGCGACCCGCCAGTCAATGTGATCATTAGCAAATCACAATTTAAATAACTTATAGCTTAACACAAAGTGTAAACGATGCTACTAAAAATTTCAGGCTCCCAAACCAAGACACATAATTCTTCCAAGCTGTGTTCTTTACTAATCCACACCTATAGACCAAATCTTGCCAAACTGAAGCACTCTACTATTTACATAGGGAGGGGCTGTCTTCAGCCTCTTCCTCTAACACAAAGTATTTGGACTGGAATGCACCTGCACCCTTCCTGGAAATCCAGCCTACTACAAACCATCACAAAGAAAGATTTCAGGAAAAAAAAATCAGCTTTAAATAAGTTATTAATGTTCATTTTAACAGTGAGATGTAAAGGGTACATCACTCTTAAAGGGTATCTAAGATAGAATACCCAGTTCAAGAGTTTTGCAAGTATATGCTTTAGCAACAACTTATATTTTAAGCAAAAACCTCAGTACTATACTGTCTCCTTAATCCGTTAATATAAGAACTTGGAAACGTCAAGAGGTTGCACAGGGCAGTGAAAATACATCAAGAATATGCAGGAGGCAGAAGTTCAGGAGGAAAATGTTATCTTGAATATATTTATCCTTATTACCCCTTTAACATTAAAAGTGATTATCAAAGTGTTGTCTCCTAGCAAATGGCTGAGCCACTATAATACTGTAAATTATTTGAAAAAGATAAAAATAGCATGGAAGATTGCTCTAATTAAAGTGTCTAAATTATACCGATGCAACTTAAATTATCTTCTTGGATGTTCTGCACTATTTGCAGGGAGCTCTTATTTACCAAAAATAAAATTCTTGCATTAGTAGGATAGGTAGACTGAAGCAAATACAGGAAATCCATAAACGACTGTGACAGAAGATTTGATGGGAAAATTTACCAATGCTGGTTTATAGTACTGTAGAAAATAACATCAGGATATCTGACAGGAATAAAGCATTAGATTACTGCATAAGAACACATGAACAGTCCAAAAGAAGTGGTTGAACTCTGACCCATCTGCTTTAACCATGATTTATCTACATAGAAAAGTATGAAGGACACCTGAAAAAGGGAACGCCATCACAGGTATCCCTAGGCAGAAGCTGGGAAGGATGGGGAGGGGGAAGTGAACCATGCACCACAATGCAAATGCTGTCCCTTACATACAACACTTCAATGCATATACAAAAGGACAGAGTTTATATCATGATGTCACTACTCATGTTTCATCATTTTGGCGTCATTCTGGCTAGGAACAGTTGCCTATAAGTATCCTTTATAACTCTTACCTAAATGATTTAATTTTGAAACCTGACTATTTGCACCAGTGTGATTTTCTTTGCATATTTCAAATTAAAATGTAAATTATTACACATGACAGGTTGCAAACTTTAACTGTGATAGAGGAATATATCAGTTTCCCTGCTTGGAAGGATGCAACGTTTCCCACAGAAACACAAGGTTCTCAATCAGTTTAGTGAATCCTGACACAGAGCAAAAGGCTGCATAGAAGAAAGGAGCCAGGTGCACAGTTAAAATTACATTCACCAATAAAACTCACAAAGGTCACATTTTACCATAACTCATTCACTCCTTTGTAGCCATTTTTTCTGTCACAGGGGAAGGAAGAAAAAGAGGAAAAATAAGATGTGTTTGTCTGGGAACCCTCAGGGCTGGAGTGCTGGAGGTGTATGGCAGGTTGGTGAATTCTCATTTATCAGACTTAAAAAAGATAGAGTGATAAATGCATAACTGGACCTTTAATATTTTATGCACGTGCTAAAGTGACTTAGCTGTCAACTTCCATACATCAACAGCAGCTTATAAAGTTGCTTTCGTCACTGTAGATTGGGGCTATTTCCTATGCTATTTTCCGTAATTTTTTAAAATGCAGAGTATCACTGAAACTGACTGGCCTTTTACAGTATCTCTCCAACTTTGACCAATACTATCTCAATATTAACATCATATTTATAAATCCAACCATTTTATTCTGTTGTCATAGGTGCAGAAAAGCCATTTTTATACTAGCAAAAATGCAAGTTCCAATGTACACTGAAAACAGATGCATGTTACAGTTTATAAGACGGTACAATATTTAATAATATCAAAAAGCTCCCCCAAAGTAATTGAGCTTTAAGAACTAAGAAGGGAAATTTACCTCTGAACCCTCCTTCCAGGAGGGTGGTAGCACGTATTCTCTTCTGCCCACACCATTCATATTCTTCAAAGCGATTACCGTTCTCATTCTCAATGTCAACAGGGTCATCCTCCATCATGCATGACCCTTCCCTCTGAATAAATAAAACATTAAGCATCTTTTTAGTATCTTGGAAAATAGATAATATTCATCCTAGTAGGGATGCTGAGGTAAATTATGGAGAAATTTGCAAGGTTAAACTGCTTATGAGCAATGACAAAATGTTACAGAATGTGTTGTTTTAAAATTATGAGAGTTCCAAGAAAAAATATAATTTAAAGAACTGTGGAAATTTAAGGCTAGAATACTTAAATAATGCCTATTATTATCTAAAACCAGCCAATGAATTGTCAATTTGGAATTTGAATTGAGAATTTTCTAACATTCTATCTGCTGAAGGAAAACTATAACGGACTGTTTTAACAAGGAAGAAAAATAAAAATGTCCTTCACACTACAGAAAGAATTTGTCTAAAATTTATAAATAACTGAAATACAATGACTAATACAGATTGTAATCTTTTGTTTAAATGAATAAATCAGAGCTATCATCAAACACTGCATTAAGGTCTCCCTCTAAACACACCACCACCTCTAACCTTATTTCAATATTGTATACCGTATGAAAAAAATCCAATAAAATGAGAAAGCTTGGAAAAGCAGAAAATTGAAGCTTTAACTAAGTTAGAATTGATCGTTCTGGATAAAGCTTTAGTATTATTACTTCTCATGTAGAACTACTATCTGCATGAACTGCTATCACATACATGCTATCATATCTGTGTGGCTACTTCAATGCTAAATATACTAAATTTTAAGGACAACAGCAAGGTGGCTGATTTTGAAGATGAGATTTAATTCATTAATCAAAAATAGCCACATCAACAATATCAACTGTAAAAACACCAGGCCATGGTCTGCTATTTTAAAGGATGCGATATCTGTCATGTTCCAAATGACAGGCTATACTCCACCAGGAAATTACTGAGCACCCTAATTAATGCTATAAATGGTATAGGAAAATTAGATCCAAGGTCCAATAAACTTACTAAAACTAGAGCATTGCTTGACCAAATGTGTATATAGTTACTTTTTGTTAAAAGGAGAGTAGCATCTGGGTGCCACATATTTAACTTTGAGGGTGAAAAGGAACTGGCTTCACTTCTCCTCTCCAATACATTCTCAGTTTTATTGCATTAATGTTAAACTACAGTTGCATACTATAATCAAGCTCCAGAAAAGTAGGAAAAGCCTCCTGTAGCTCAGGAGTAGAGACCTTCTGAAGAGACCAAAGTTACAGGTCACAATTTTCCTCCTATGCTTCTGTAGGACAATAGAAAGGTGCCCAATGACATAGGGGCATCAGCCCCTTTTCATGTTTAAGGCATTTTAACGTTGATAATTTCCATGATTAAATTCTTCCCAAATCCTACCCCTCTAAAAAAAAAAAAGGCTGTTGCAAAAATCTAGCCATTTTCTCATTGCATTTCAGTGGCTCAATCTCAGTATCGATGGGGGGGGAGGTTGCTGACTGCTACTGTAATAGCAACTGAGACTACAATCCATTCTCATTTGAAAGGCTAGGAAGATTGGCTGTAACGTAACAAGACTGCCAAAATGATAAGCAAGTAATCAAGTGGATCTGCAAAGGAACATTCAAGTCTCAGGTCTTCAATTGGCAACTTCGATTTCTATCCAGATATCAGGCAAAGCAGAGAGCGTAGAAAGAAAGAAAGGAGAGGCAGCAAGGGTTTCCTTAGCATTTCTACCTTTGCAAGGCATTGTTCGACATGCCCACTCCTCTCCTCCTCGGATCCTGAGAGAGGCTGGCTGCAGAGGGGACATACCTGTCCTTCGTCTTGCTTCCTCCTTTTCATTTTTCCAATCCGAGCTGTTCAAGGAAAGCAGAGAGAGAAGAAAAGTACAACAGGTTACATTTGTAAGATTAGCCCCTTCTCTATCCAGTGTCAATAGCATCCATATCTATTCCTTGTAAGGGACAAATACATACACAATTAAAAAGGAAATACCACACAGGTTTGAACTTTATCTTGAGCACTCTAAACTTAATCCTCTTCATCTCGCCATCTTCATGGCATGGTCAAACACAAATCAAATTCCTCGTCTTCAAGAAGTCATGCTTAGTTCTATAATTACTATAGCACTGCATCTTTCTAAAAAAAAAAAAAAACCCCAACAACTAAAGCCATCGAGTTGTCTCAAAGCAGCACATTAATTGAAGCAGAGAGCTTCTGATTCACTCCAGAACAAGACATCAGTAAACATTTTGTCTTCAAGGTGCCTAACCAGATTTATTTTAGGCTACTCTATTTTGGAATATTTTTCAAACTACTGTAAGATAAGGTGCTACTTATATACTGTCCCCTTTCCCAAAGCACTAAGTTCAAGCGTGAAATTTGGTAGAAAAATGGCCAAATTTCAAGGATGCCTGTTTAGTACAAGATTAAATAAGGCAAATAGGAGCGGTCAGGCCAAGATTTCTCATCTTCATCTGTAGGTCATGGTAAACTATCTTGTGCCGAGTTCTGCTCCTGGTGGTTGCACTGAGATTACACACTCCTTGCTACTCTCAGGATGATTTCTGCCTGTCCAGGGACAGGTGAGTTAGGTGGGCACATGTAATAATAAAGTGAATGGCAGCAATTTAGGTTTCCGGTTAAAATGGACAGAAATTAAACCTTCTTTTGAAGCAATTTTTATATAGGTAGTCTTCAACTTATGACCCATCACTTAGCAACCATTTGAAGTTGCAAGCCCACCCCACAAAGGCACGTATGAGCTGGTTCCGAAGTTCTGACAGCTGCTCTCCCCCTGCAGTCACATGACCGGATTTTGGGTGGTCAGCAACCAGCTCACATTTATGACCATTGGACTACAATTTAAGATGTTTTTGCTGGAAAGTAGTGTTGATTTCTGGGTTTTGGTGAAAATGCCCCATAGCAAACAATGGTTTTGCTTAATGATTGTGGTGTTCACTTAATGACCATGGTGAATTGTTTAATGACTGTTGGGAAAAAGGTCATAAAATGGGGTCAATTTCTATACCTGTGATATTGTATAGTGATTTTGTAAATATGGAGGTAAAAAGTTATAAATTATGGACCTGCTTTTGGAGGGGGGGGAAATAATTATTACAGTTGAAACATATTTATCAGTATTCAACCAGTGGGGATAACTTTATAGTTTTATACACTTTTTTTCTCTTTGTTATTGTTATGTATTCTTTATTTCCTTTTTTATTTTGTATTTTAATTTTGGAAATAAAAAAAATAGAAAAAGGAAAATGTACATCACAAAAACACTGATTAATACAGTTCAGGCAAATGTTAATATTATGAGCTGATTATGTGTTGCTATATGTTGCGCAGATGTGTAACATAAATGTTATATTTGTTGCAACTTCATAGAATTCATACCAAGCATGAAAAATAATCTCAAAAATACTCTAAAGAAAGACAAAATATGGATAGGAATAACTTGGTAGATATAAGTTGCTACTAATAATTTGGGGATGCAAATGCAGGAAAAACAGTCTGTTCAATTACATGGTCATCTTTAGTTGACTATAAATAGTCATGCAAATATTTGAAGAATATTATCCTCTAGTCTATTTCCCTGAACTTCTCCCATTTTTCCTCTAATCACATTTTTTCTCAAACAACAATTCCCAACAAACTCACAGGCACCTACTTTTCAGCAAATACACCATGCAAGAGGAAACAGATCTCATTAGCTCTGGATCATGTCTCCAGAATAGCACAAGTGGCACTGGCTTTTACCCTCTCAGATTTATGGTAAGGACACTTAACACAAAACAAAAATCACTTCTGCAATAAACCTTGCTCTTATTTAATAATTTATCTCATGTTTTCAGGATCAGATAAGTAGAAAACAGCTCCATGTAAAATATTCTAAATTTTCACGTTAATGAGGCTACCACTTTCTTGAAAGGAAATTGGAAGTCTTCATATAGAAAGTTGCATATATAGCTTTTCCCATGTTCATGGGAACAAGTGTTAATACAACCCAGAAAAAAACATGTGGTAAAAACACGCACTAAAGAATACTGCCATTAGAATTCTCCTTATCTGTAAGTCACTAACAAAATCTACAATTACTTATTCTTAATCACTCATCTAGTTAATTTGCAATCAAAAATACTTTCATGTTATACTTTCAATAACTTTTGCATTTTTAAAAAATCCATCCTCAATTACCAGGATGTTGATAGTATTTCTTATTTATCTCAAGGACTACCTGGAATAATATCTCTGATTACCAATTGCATCTTTTTTAAAATAAATCTTTTACTGCAAAGCCTGTGATGCTAATTGAAGGAGAAATTGTAAAACATTTTATAAAATACCAATGTTAATAATTTGGGTTCTAATTATTATTTGCAAAGCTTCTACATTTATGCCATTATAATAAACCTAAATATTGTGGGCCCAATTTCATGTTGCTAGATTATTAAGTTTATTATGTATATGCTAGCATGATGCACAAGTAATGTAAAGAGCTTGATTTTTTTGCTAGGCTGATGAATGTTTGACACAATTCAGAAAATAAGACCATATTATTAATATGATGCATTCTCAGTGGTGGAGGCAACTTTAAAAAACATATTAACAGCTATTGCAAACAAAAAAATGCTCTTGTTCACAAAATCAGAGTGGTAGAAGCTAAACTGTAAAAATAGCAAAAGGAAGATAACAAAAAAGTTAGCAATAGCTTGATGGTGGAATGCAGGACAAGGAACCGAGGCTGTTTGAAAAACCACAGTGAGAAGAATTTCCAATTGCTGCTATAAAGCTCAGCTATCACTTCTAATCAACATAGGAAGGATGGAGTAGCCCCAGAGGAAGGGGGGCAATTGCTCAGCTGTCCCAAAGGAGAACAGCTCAAAAGAACACACAAGTGAGACCACAGTATTGTTAATTAGTGCTGATAGATGAAATCATTTCTAATTAGCTCACTAATCCTTCTCCCCTGTACTCTTGTCACAGGAGCAAAGAGAGGGGCATGGTTGATTTTTTTCCTAATGTTTAAGCCAAAGATTTTTTTTAAAGAATAAGCCTGAACGAAACAACAGAAAAACTATCAGTAAAGATTCCAAAGAGTTAGTCAGGTTAGTTCTTGCAGTCTCCTCAAGTTAAAATATAGCTGAAGTTAAATTCTGAAAGGGACTTGTCTATATCAATGAAATAGACATGATAAAAGACAGTTTGATAGTTTTAAGGTGCACAAGACATTTTAAATTATTAGATTTATTTTGCTTAAACAACCAGGGCATAGGAAAATCATTAGCATTACAATAAAAATTCTGCCACTGGAATGATTTCATGTATCAGAGTGTTGTTGACAGTCACTTTAAAAAAAAATGCATTCCTTCTTTGATTGGATTAATCATGAATCCAAATTGCTACAAAAATTTATTTCAAACACATCTATGTCTTTGCTTCCTTTTCTACACAGTAGTACACAATTGTAACCGGTTTTGTTTTATTAATCCAAATAGCACAAATTCGGACTTAGTCTTACATTTACACTATCTCATATACTTGTTCTGGTTTATCTGAAGTTTTTATTTTGGAGAGTCTTAGAAGGGCTCTGTGCTAAAACAGTCATGTGAATGTGCCTAACAGAGTATCTTTGTAGGAAAAGCTAGGAGCCAGGTCCCAGTCCTTTTCATATTCCGCCTTTATTTTCTCTATTCTTTGTTTTGCAGGGCCTTATTTTGTATGTATTACATAACTTTTATGTTGCTGGGAAGCCTGGAATCATGCCTATCTTATGTTCCATAATCTAGGTTATCATTTACATATTGAAATCCAAATTTGTATTCCACATTCTACGGTACTTATGTTGATTACTCTCTTCAAAAGAAAAACCTAGCATGTATTTTTCTATTGTAATCTACAAACTAACCTACTATTAGTTATTAGTTTCTAACTCAATTTTGCTTGTTCATCAATCAATACTTGCTCAGATTGTAGCATTTCTTCTGTATATCCTAGATTGGTACAGTTAAGAATTATATTCAATTCACCCTTGGAACCGGAACTGACACAATTATTTTCAGGATAAATGTGTACATCATTGTTTAAAGAATTTATATGACCATCTATTTCATATAATGATCCCAGTCAGTTCATAACTGGTAAAAACAGGAATACCCTCCCTCTCTAATTGGCTTCAGACCAATCAGTCTCTTGCCTCAACTCCCATTCTAGGTCAACATTTGGGGGAAGAGCCAGATCTTTACAGCCTTCTGCAAGGCTCAAAGAATAGGGATCCCTCACATTTCAAGTGGAAGGTTATTTCAAGGCTGGGACAACTACAAAGAAGCTGTGCCTATGTGCAGTTAAATTTTTGGAATTATAGGTTAATGAAACCCATGGTTTACTTTTTAGTTTTAAATAAACCAAAGTACTAGAAAATACTTTTATGAGGAAATTATTTGGGCAATTTAGAATACATATGGAATACATATGGCATCTGTTGGCAATTCTTTAGATCAAGGGTGTCAAACTGTTGGCCTGTGGGCCAGTTGCATCATAAGCTGCAATGCAAAAAAAGTCACGATACGTTGTGACACGTCACATGATGTGGGCAAGTTTGACACCCATGCCTTAGATCAAAGCTGCCATAGAAAGCCAGAAAAAGATGCAGATTTTAAAGTTGTTGAAAGTACATGGTATGTACAGTACCCAAATAGACTCCAAATCACCTTTTCCTTCAAAATCTGGATTGCTGCACAACAACAAAAGCCAATACACGCAGCAAAAACTGATTTGCTTTAAAAAGTCTTGGAAAAATATTTGTGTTTCGGCACTAGGCATTTTCCAATAACAGCACCAGATGCCGCAAGGAATATTTGTGAGATGATCAATATATGAAATGGTACAATAGTATTCATTAATCATATGCCAGAGGTATTCAATAGTGGAAATTGTATTGCAGTTTATGAATGTAAAACACAGATTACATGTATTCACAATGCAATGCATGGTGCTTATTAATCTTAATTCAAGAGTTCACTCTTAAAGTATTGTAAGTACCACTAACATAGATCTTACAGCCTTGAAGCCGCCTAGTAATTTTGAATGCATAATACAATACTTTTTTCTTGCAATTTTAAACTACTTTATAATTTGAAAGCTTGAGATTTCAGTGTATTTGCTTTTGATTGGATTAAGCACTGACAAATAGAATTAAAGATTACAGCTTTTAAAAATGTATTTTTGTTTTAAAGCACTCAGATTTCATAGTATTAATATTTTAATCTGACTAAAATATCTCAGTGCTAAAAGCTGTAAAAAAAATTACTACGTGCAAATATTGTATCGGTGGTTTCCTTATAGGGGCAAATAATCTGAAGAATTAAATCTGTGGAAATCAAATTAAATGTTAATCTTGATTCTCTACAAAATGCCATAGAGATTGGGAGCAGGAGATTACACACACACAAACACACGTTGTGAAATATAGCTGATCAGAAATTGAAGAACAGCTCATGTGAAGTGTGGTTGCAAAAAGTACCAAAAGAAACATGTGAAATAAGGACATTAAAAAAATTATATACATGGCTCTAGTAGTATCCAGTGCTGGTGGTAAAAAGGGCAGCACCAATTTAGGAAAAAAATCAAAGGAACAAAAATGTGTTAGTAACACAAATGATAAGTAAGGCTTTAAAATTGTAGATCACAACTTGCTAAAGTACCTTATAAAGGAAGAGAGCATTAGCCCCATCAGACACTAATACCGGAAACTGTTATTCCTAACAAAAGACAAGAACATAGGTCTCACTCACCATTCAGCCGGGTCTGTCTGTTTGCCCTTACTCGCAAAAAGGTCTATGAACAGAAGACACAAGAACGTAAATAGATAGAATTAGGGCCTTGCTAACGAGAAAACCAGAGATTAATTCAATCAGTTTTAAGAAATATTCTTGAAAGGAATCCACTGCCAGAATATTTTTAAAAATACACACCAGTTTCATTCATCTGTTAGTTTCTGGCTTATTTTTTTCTCCATTTATTAATTCAAACCTTTCATAGTTTCCTAACAGCTTCCTTTATTCATGTTTTCTTTTGCTCAACTCTAAGTCATATTTGGACTTTTAGAACTCTCTCGTATAAAATGATATTGCCAGTCTCGTTTGCTTTCTAAATTTCATAGACTGTCTATTATTAAAAGCATTGAGTCTGTAATAGTAGCTGTAAGCAGGTTCCCTGCCTGCCTCGCTATCTTAGGCTGGCTCAAACTCCAAACCGATCTGCCAAATTGAGTATCTATTTTGGCCCCCTTTTCTAAATACAACTCCAGCTTTCCCCCCTCCCCGTAGTTGTCCTGCCATTCCTACTAAATTAAGTAGTTCTTAATCAACTTCTAACATAGTTCGTTCTCTCTTTATATAAAAAGAGGCCTCTCCAAGTTTATCCTGAGAATGTAAACAGACCACTCCCCCTCTCAGGAAGGACGGCCCAGCTTCCCTTAGATGTAAACAAGGCCTATTCCCTTCCTTAGCAATAAATGGCTTCGCCCCCAGAAACAGTCCACGTTCGCACCTCCTCCCGACCACCGGGCTCCCTCCTCTCGCTCTGCATGGCCGGGGATGAGAATGGATACGGGCAACGGCCCCGGCACCTGCAATTAACTCTCCACAACAGCGGCCGTCGCCATATTGGCTGCGATCATGTGACCAGCCGTCGCCTACGCGGGGTGAGAGTTCAGAGGAAGTTGTTCTCATGGCAACTAAGGCTGGGAGCGGGCGAGGGTTGAGGGGTTCCTGCCATAATAGCGCGTTCCTCAATCGCGTTCCTTTTGTAAACACCGGTTACCACAGTCCGGATGCCCGAAATGTCGTCTTTGCCCAAGTCCCAGAGAGAACCATCGGGTCGTCCCCGTCGCCTTTCTAACAACTTTGCGACTCACACAACTCCTTAAAACAAATCCGCGCTCGAGCGCGCGTGCTCTGTACTTTGAAAAGCAGCATTTTTCCTCTTCACAATAAAAGATCAAAGTTACTGATAGTATTCTTTCTTTTTCCTCTAATTAAATTAAGAGTGCTGCAAATATCCGTGCCCCTATTTTTGTAACAGCAGCATCTTTGGCAGATGCCTAATATTCTGGTTTCACTAGCCTGAGCCTATATTGATAAAAGTAGTAAAAGAATGGTTACTGGCCAAGACATAAATATACATTTTCTAAAACGAAAAAAAAATCTTGCTAATGGCAGCACTGGAAATGGCATGGCAGTACTTGATTTTCATCCTGATTTATATTCATAATATAGGTGTATGTTGGTTATTTTGCCAACAGATTATGTGGACTGCTGTCCATGCATTTAATGAAATGGATCATAATCTAAAAGTTTGCATCATAACAACTTTGCTCTTCTTTCAACTACTATGAGACATTTTTGCTGCAACATTTCCACACAAATGGAAACACAATCATGTAAAACAAGATATATACACTACAGAAATTTAATTTTCAGATTTAAGATTTAGTATGTTATGAAAATCCTTGAAAGAGATAGTTCATTAAACCAAAGTTCAATTAACTTGGGTAACCATATTGTGCAATCTTCCAAGTATAAAGAGTCAGAAAAAGATGCTTTAAACTGTCACTAAAATTTTCTAAAAAAGCAAAACAAATATAATAGCTGGAAATTTTCACTATGTTTGATAAGCATGAATAGTGAATATGATACAACTTTGAAAGATACGAAAACCCATTCAAAGTCCAACCTTAGGACCTTATTGTCAGACCACTGCCTATAAAAAGGAAATCAGGTGGCTACTGGGTGCTCTGCTAATATAACATCCCAGATTTGTTTGGATGATAGATTTCTTTAGTCTTAAAAATGTTGCAGTAGGCATCTTATAAACTTCATTGTCAGAAAAATATTCATTTTATGAGAATCTTTAAATATCCTTGTACTTAGCAAGAATACATAAGCAGTGTGCCCTTTTATTAAAGTAACTAAAGGTCAATATGTAATATGCTCATGTCTTTGTAAATGTTTAATCCTATTGAAGTCAATAGGAGTCGGCTCTGGTGAATTGGAGCTCTTTGTAGGGCCAATATCCAAACAAAAATCTTTCCAAATTACTAAAACAGTCAGACATTATTTTACTGTGTTATTTCCAAATTGTTGTTGCAAGAAAGTTAAGCCTATAGAATAATAGAGTTGAAAGGGACATAAAGTTCATCTAGCCCAACCTCATGCTCAGACAGGAGACCCTATACTGGCTGCCCAATCTCTTCTTAAAAACCTCTGTTCATGGATCACCTACAACTTCTGGAGGCAAGCTGTTCCACTGATCAATTGTTCTCCCTGTTAGGAAATTTCTCCTTAATTCTAGGTTGGATCTCTTCTTGATAAGTTTCCATCTGTTACTTCTTGTCCTGGACAATATGTTGACCCTGTCTTATCTGTGGCAGTCCCTCAAATATTGGAACACTGCTATATGTGTCACACACACACACACACACACTTCTCATATAAGAGAAGGAACTATGTTCTATATACCTGAGAAGTAGTATCCTATTAGCGTAAAGAACCCCTGAAGCCATCAAGACTTTTCAAGTATTAAAGCCAAACAGGTATGACAGTGTGATCTGAGGATTTTATTGTTAAAACTGACAAAAGCATCAAAAACCTTGAAAATTTCTTAAAAGCCTAAATCACCGAATTCAATAGAGAGAATTTATCATACTTTCTTTCAACAAATATGGTACTGCATGGAGGGCCGCAATGTAGACTTTCAGTGATAGGGTTTAGCAAAGATATGTATCCTTTGTATTTTTCTAATGTTACTCTAATATTACACTCATTCTGATATTACCCTTTATCGGAATCCTTATCATACACACAAATTTTCCCTGGCATTACTACTAATAACAGTAACACCTAACAATGTACTTTAACTCATGTCTATTATCTAACTCTGATTTATATTAAGTATCTTAGTTAATGAGATACTGTAAATCAGACATGTCAAACTCGCGACGTTACGTAACGTTGCGCGACATATTGGAGCTTTTCCCCCATTGCCGGCAATGGGGTGGGCGCTGTTTCCTGGTGACGCGTCCGGCCTATGGGCCGGCAGTTTGACACCCCTGCTGTAAATAATTGAAATTAAATAAAACATATTACAAGCAAGCACTATGGTTGAAAGAAAGATATAAATATGTTTAGAAGTCTTTCAAATTTCTTCATTCCTTTTTTTTCTTAATTGTACTTCCATATGTCAGGTAGGCATTGATTTTATAAGATTTATAGCAAACACATCCATCACAAATTGTTATATGAATGGACGACTTTGCATATCATAAATATTAAAAGACAGATTTGGAACCTAAAACAGAAGTAAAATATCTTAACTGGGATTCAGTGGAAAAGAGAAAGGAAAAAAGTTATTTGCAGTTTTAACATAACCTTAGCTGGCAGCTTCATTCTAGTACACTGAAACTCTTGTTTAGATGCTTTGTCCATATTGTACTTGACAGGTGACTTCACTAAGAACACAGTGTACCACAATTTACTGGTCCTTGTCTTTGGAGATTGTCATATAGGTAATTAGATATTGTCACATAGGTAATTTCTTCACATACTTCTGTTTATGAACATCATCTATACATATGAGATGTCATTTTTCTTGACTGTAAATCAGGTCACATAAATTTAGCCAATGACCAATGAAGATACATATTTTATAAACAAAAGAGATAACAGAAATGAGTACCTGGATAAATAGAAGAAAATATTTCAATAATAAGTTAATGAGATGTATATTGTATACACTGATAATATCTCCAGAAACCGAAACAGTTTCTTAGAAGAAACCATGCATTAATTATTCCACAAAGGCTAAGATGTAATCAGGCTCTACATTTACATCCTGAAATTGGGATGTAATTGGCTCCTCCCTCATCTCAACTACTTACAATTTAGCTTAGAGAAAAAGGGTGAAACCTGATTTTTAATGGATTTTATTCTTCAAACAAAGTGCACTCTCATCATGCATTTTCCTTCTATTTACTGTCCAATACTCCTCCTTCCCTGATTTGAAATATTATAACCTGACTCAATGTAATGCTTAGCATTCTCATTTCAAATTTATTACAGTGAGAGATAGGAGTGCTCCATATTTTCTACAGCCTGACCTAAATTGATTTCTTGTGTTAGAGAAATAGATGCAAAGAATTTTTTAACTGGAACAATTTTTTTTTTCTTTTTGGAAAAAATGTCATGTCATTAATCCTATTCAAATTCATAAGCATATGAAGAAAAGATATGGAATAAAAATTCCATTTTCAAAAGCAATGCTGTTTCCCTAGTGTGAGTAAAATATTCAACTCAATATTAAGGAATTTTAAGTGATGATGTGGGGCATAAAGAGGAGCTACTAATTATTTTTTCAGGAAAGCAACACAAGACATCATCTTTAACCCGTCCCCAGCCTATTGTGAAGATGTATTTTCTTGCTGTGTGTCTAAAGCAGTGTTTTCTCAATTCTATCAGCATAAACCATGCCAAGTGGTCTGTCTGCTTTACTTCATTTCATTCTCTCATGACACTTTTTAATTTTGGATACCATGGTGAAACTGGGAAAAGTTCTACAAGTGATGGAAAGAACAGTGAAAAAAAATAATGCTCACCCCCCCCATCCACACATACTGGGGTGAAACTGACTAAAGTTTTCTTGTTTCTCTTCTAGTTCAAGTGATACCAAGAATTATAAAAAAGTAGTTTTTCTCATCACCCAGTACACTGGAAAAATGCTCAACAAGAGCAAGCAATTCCTGCTTTGCAGTTGGACAAGATGACCTCTAAGGCCCTTTCAGCCATATTATTTGGATGTTTGTTCATGCAAACAGAAACCATGTGTTCTTAGAACCAATTCTTTTCTGAAAGGAAAGTGATTGGTTCTTGCTTTCCAGGGATGGGTGGGAAACAAACAGAAGCAGGAAAATCTACTAATTAGAATGTGATAACTGCATACAGGTAGAACACCTGGTCAGCTGAAGTTTGAAATCCATATGACAATTTTTTAAGATGGCTTGATTTCCAAGCAAGCAGTTTAAGGTTGCCAGGTGAAATTGCCCCTATGTGAATTCTGTTTTTACTATTCATTTTAGTAGAACAAATAGTACATGGTACAAAATTTAAGATGAATTTCTTAAATTAATTTTCTTGGATTTTAAAGTACAAGTGTAAATTGTAAAATCTTTAGATTTAATGTTAAAACTATTTTTTTAAATTATTGAAATTATAGCCACTGAATAATAGTACTGAAGATTCTAATTTCCTAATCAGTTTAAAATATTCTGTAGTCAACTTTCCTACTTCCTAATTTTGTTGCTGTTGAACATTCAATTATAAGACCAGGTTATATTAGTATCAAAATGGATTGAAATGCATAGCCTCATCATAACTTCTACCAACATTCAAAATTCAGATTTTCCATATGAGGTTTCTAGTATCTTCTGAAAAGTAACACATTGTTTGGGTATTTCTTGTTACTTGATTGTTTTTAACTGGTATATTTTTACCCTGGATAAGCTTGTGGTTAACTCATTCAGAGTCACTATGATTCAAAAGGTATATAAGCTGAAATATTATATAAGTAACCCTTTAATGATACAAATGTTAATAGTGATCTACATTTAACTACAAAGTTGATTAGTTCAAGCTTTTATGAATTACTCTGAAAGAAATATTTGCCTACTTATCTCTTCCTATTATACAATATTTTCATAGGAAGCATAAATCTCACAAAAAATGGCAATGTACCATTAGTAATACTTCAGTTTACACACACACAAGGCATTTCATGGAAAATTCAGCCCATGGAATCAAAGAAAGATTTATTATACAATATCTTTTTAATTAACCCTCAGCTGGATTTATGTTTGAGGTTTGACTATATTCCCAGCTGAATTCATATAACAATTATACATTGGTTTTTTAATTAATCAGATCTGCAATTTTCAGAATAAAGATAATTTGAAAGAAAAGAAGAAAAGAAATATCCTAGAGTTTGTATAAGAATTTCTTGATATGTAAAATGAATACTGTTACAAATAGTGTTGACTGGTTTTTGAAAGAATGAACTAAATACATGTTGAAAACACTTGATTGTGAAATATGAAATATGATACAGACTATGTAAACAATGTATCTGCTTATGACAATAGCTACTATTATGGTTAATACACATAAATTAGTTATACAATATCCAGAGAGAGTATCTTATTAATAGAGTTAATAAGAGTAACTATGCATCTTATTTTCCAATTAGAAGAATATAGCCCATTTAGGAAGCAGTATATAAGTCTAAGTGCTATTGCTATCTGTCTATAAAATTCATCACCTCCATATATTGAAGTTTAAAAAAAATTACTAGGAGAATATTATATGAAATTAAGATGTTCATTTGGACAATGAGTTCCGTTGGCTTTGGACAGTAAAAATAACCCATTACACCAGTGTTTTTCAACTTGGGCAGCTTGAAGATGGGTGGACTTCCAACTCCCAGAATTCCCTACCCAGCCTAGTTGGCTGGGGAATTCTGGGAATTGAAGTCCACCCATCTTCAAGCTGCCCAGGCTGAGAAATACTATATTACACCATAAAGTGCTTCGTCACTGTAACGAGCAACTGTTAAAAATACTGCTGAGCATTAAAAACCAAATTTTTGTTTTCTTAAAACAGTTGCATTATATGCTTCTTTCAGAATGGAGCCTTAAAGTTAATTATTTCTTCTTGGTCATTTAGGGCAATTTATTGGGCCTTTCCCTTTTATCCACTTGAAAAGTAATATCTGTGCAATATTGTATTGTTGGGCTATTATATTGTCACACACAAATATTCTCATACTCAATAATCCTCTTTATCAACCACTACTATGACACAAAGCAATAAAAAAATAAAAAGTGGATATAAGCCTCTCAAAGAAATTTGCAATACTGTTGTATTACAGTACTGTTTAGTCAGGGTTTCGAGGATATAGAAACCTATGTATTAAACAACTATTATCTGAATTTACATATGACATACAAAGACTAACATCATTCCCTGAAAGATCTGTTAGTGCCATTTAGTAGCTCCTGGCTTTCAGTCATCAGCTGAGTCCTCCTGGTATCTTTCTCACCTGGTATCTGTCAGAGTGATGAATATCATCTGAGGAATGGGGTGATGCTGTTGGAGAATCTCCTTCCCGCTTGATAGAGGCTGACAACAATATTGACTGCAGGAAAAGGAGGGGAAAAGGAAAGCAGTTAAGAATGCAGAGTAGAAATGGAGCAGGAGATGTGATATACAGTAACAATAATTTAAAAAGCCATGATTAAGTCAACTATGGGTTAGCATGTCATACAAACACAGCCTATCATCCTTGGTTCTCTCCTGTAATAGTTTACATAAACTTTTATTGACAGAAATTTTAAAAATGTAGCATGTTTTTTTTATTCTTAAAGCAAGTTTTCTTGTTTGTATTATTTGTAGGGATTGTTTGTGTTCAGAGCAGACATTTTTATAATATTTAACTCTTTAAAATAGGAGTAAAATGACGAGACAAAGATCATCAATGGCAGTTCCATGCTAAAATGCCTACATTTTTATCCATTGTTTGTAGTTTACTAGTTGTAAGAATACTAGCAAGAAATTCAAACAGATAAAAACAAGCTCATTTTTTTCCTCACGTGAATGAAAACTCTTTAGCAAATGTATTCAAATAATATAAATACAACAATGAATAGGCAGAACAAGAACTGCTACAAATTATTTCAGAAATGACAAATAATATTACAGTCATAAGATCTCTCATTAATATTCTGAACTATCCCAAATACTAGGATGTTTCTCTTATTTTTATAGCAGGTTAAGAAGGCAAAAGAGTTAGCAATTTAATAGCATTTGTGAAAGTTATCAAGGCAAGGAAATATAAATTCCTTCTACAAAGTTTTATGAGAAATGACAATACTTTGATTATATAGTAGTCCTCAACTTAAGACTGGTCATTTAATGACAGTTCCAAGTTACAGTGGATTTTTAAAAAGCTGTCTATGTTCCATCCTCAATGTTACAAGTGGTGCCCTACCCCTGTAGTCTTATGACTACATTTTAGGTGTTTGGCAACTGGCTCACATTTATGACTGCTTGTCGTATGCCATGGTCACTTGATGGTGATTTGCAATTTTTTTTTGCCAGTTTCCAGCAAAAGCCATCCATTCTGAAGAAATGTGAGAGCTCACTTTTTAACCATTGTAAAAATGGTCATAAAATCAACTCTGGCCATGTGGTGCCTTGATAGTGTGTATAACCACAACCAGTTATAACCAAAATTCCGGGCTCCATTTTGATAGTAAGTTGAGGAGTACCTGTAGTTTAAAGAAATATATTCAATGAAAGTAAACGTTATTGTTAAGAAGGTCTTGGGAATACTAGCTAAATTCCACATGGATTGGTAACCCATATGTCAAAATGAATACAAGGTCACAAATTATTAAATATACTCTGATAATAATAATAATAATAATAATAATAATAATACCAGATTTATTTTATACACAAACAGTATACAAAATTATATTTGTCAGGTGCAATGAAAAACTATGTCCACATGTGATGGTTCAATTTAAGTGATTTATTGCTAAAAGCCTAAGCAAAGGATCTTAACTAACAATCAGCACCTAGTTAAAGTTAGTTAAGGGTCAACGGCATTCAAGGGGATTGGAGGTTTGAGTCCCTGGATAAAAAGCTGATACAAATATAGCAGATAAATAAGTTATGGGATGGATTTGAAGTAATCCCAAACTCAACTAACTCATGTATACTCAGCATATGCATGTACTCAATAATGCATAATTAAAGATTTCTTTGTGTTGAACTGAACTCCCACTGACCACCTGGTCACATAAAAATACTTCAACACAAAATTTTGGCTGAATTCATGGTAGCTGAAAGGATTATCATTAGAGATAAAAATAAGGGTCTAGTTTACAGAAAATGTTATTTTGCCTCAAAGTTTCATGTTACTTTATTATTATTTGTTAAGAAAATATATATGGCCACCAAACTCACTCACAATGACTCCAAGCAGCTTACAGAAATAATACCTTAAATAGAAAACCCAATAAATCCCCGCCCAAATTTACTTTCCTAAATTTGACATATTGTCATTGCTGAAAATGGGCATGACTTTCTTATGATAACAGGTATAAAATGCATATTAAATAAATTAGGGGGAAATTACCATTTAGGGAGCAAATGCTATACTCGAATCTGTAGAATTAGAATAACCTGCAGCTTTTAAGCTGCATGTGCCCCTTCTGCTATACTGTCAATTCATGCTATTGAAATTTAGCTTCAAAATGACAACATTTCAGGAGCATTAGTTCAAATAGTTTGGCAGGGGGGAGTACCCTAATATCCCCCCAGCAAAAAAAATTGATCAATTTGATCAATTCTGCCTTCAAATTTTCCCATCCCTACTTTATAAAATTATATATTGTAGACAATCCTTTACCTTATTTTTTTATCAGAAGGATATGCCACACTTCAAATATTATTTCAACAAATTCTGTTCCCTGTATATTAATGTGCTGCATCAGTATTCTGAGATATACAGGACTATTGGTTGCATTATAATTCCCTTTTTCTTCTTGTAGTAATCTGATAGAAAGTATTAAAGGTACCTTAGCTTTCAATCTGCTTCAATGAAGATATAAAAATATGAAAGTCAAGCTTTCAGCTCTACTTTCTACCACCATAGCTTCCCAAACCTCCATCAAACTCCAGTAGCCAGTCTGCTGGCTCCCCATCCATCCATGCAACTAGTTCTAATTCAATATGATTATGTGAAAAATGGCTATACTAGCTACAGAGACAGTAAATTAAACATTATGTATTGCTTTTTATCACGTGGTCCCAAGAAGACTGCTGGCCCCATTTATTCTACAAACCTCCAGAGGGCCATGACAGCGACCTCTGGGGAAAATGCAAGGCTAAACTAATCCCAAAGATGTCAATCTTAGACCTTCTACATACACGCTCCCTTAAGATGAATAAACCGCCTCTTAAAATTGTAGCACGCAGTTATATTCTAAATACCTCTGCAGCGTGTTAAATACCATATCAGTGAATTGATGCTATAGCATCAAAGTAAACTTCCACTAAGATGGAGAGAAAGCATCTCTGTTTAGGCAGTGTCAGAAGAATTTACAAGGTTATAGATGGAATTGGGAAGTGGAAAAAAGTAGTAGCAGAAATTTTAGGATTATACCTCCTCTCAGTTTTCAGTGCCTATCTTGCTATTGTTCACAGTATTTGCATCTAATTGTTGATTCACACAAGGATATTGATTTCAACTCAAATGGATGAACTAAGGAAACAATTTTAACTGAGAAAGGAGAAATTAAATTAGGAAAAGATAGACATGGAGTCAACACCAAGTTGCAGATGTAAAAATACTGTCTATTTTTAAGGCATTTTTTTCAGAATTTTCTTGTATTTTGAGAAAGTAAATGAAGGGAGGAGGCTCTGTTGCATGTTTGAATTTTGAGAAGTTTTTAAACTATCCTTTTCAGAGAAAATTATTTTTTTTATACTAACAAGAGAACAAAATAAAAAAAACTCTAATTTTTTTTCTAAAAAAAAAAAAAAAAAGACCAGGAAAAGAATTACCAAAAGTTCATTGACCCAAAAAGCCAGAGTAAGCAGACATGCATATATAGGGCTTGATTTCTGTGCTTGGCCGGACAAGGCATATAACATCTAAATGGCAATGCTGAGAAAGACTAGTTAGAAACACTCTGAAAGAAATGGGTCATCAGCTTTTTTTCTGGACTGTGCCTGAATTTCAAAGGTACTATAAGTCTAATTAATAAAACAGAAATATGAAATCTATTACTTACTGAGAAAAAAGCTGGGAAGGCCATGTATCAGAACTTAAGGCTATAGAAACATAATATCTGGTACCTATGAAATGACTTATGTCTGTTAATGTAAAAGACCAGACTGTAATTCACATCACAGCTACGAAAAGATGATCCCCAATGTCCAACAGGATTAAGAGAAAAGATTGATGGTACAATGCCTTGAGAAAAGTAGAAATCATAGACCATTTTAGAGATAAAATTATGTTAAATCACAGCATGATCTTGGCATATCAAATCAGATTAAATGCAAGATACAATGCCTGCCTGCTCTTCACAGTGAAGTCACTGACATAAGGAATGCTATTTTCATTTTCTTAAATGATTGAAAAATAGCTAGTGGTTTGTTTTGTTTTGTTTTTTAAAAAAAGAAGTTCCACTAAGTGGCCATCATAGAAAAAGGAGGCTGGGAAAGTACATAAAAGTACACATAAATATATTGGTTGTTATGTGTAAAAAAACAAACTATAAACAGGCTCATGAAAGGCAGAAATATCAGATAAATATCCTTTTAAGGAGGAAGCCTATAATTTTTAGATGCTTCAAAAACTGAATAGCATGTTGATTAGAACAGAAAACAATCTGTTTGTGGAGATCTTTTGTGGCAAAACATGTAAAGGCTGTATATTTGGTCTTACAACATTAGACAGCAGGAGGTTCCAAAAGGCCTTTAATACTTGCTGGATTATAAAATGCAATTTAACAAACACAGATTCACCATATTGTTAACCAATGGTCTGAAGTGAAAATGAATATAGAAGTGAATTCAGCATGATCTGTCTTTACTCAGTTGATGGAAATCTGAAGATCAAAACTTTTAGGACCGTAAAAGATAACCATAATGCCACAAGATCTGGGTGTTGATTGTTTTCCTTTCCACTTAAATAGCTATCTGCATGATTCCTTAGTCAGAACAGGAGGTGGAGAAATGAGGGTTCAGCATTCAACCAGGAAGAACATCACAACTGTTCTTGTGGTGAGTAATGGCACAATTGACTAAACTAATCACTGCTGGCTTTGAAGCCAACAAATCTTCACATTCTGTTTTCATGGTTAACTTAAGTACTGACTGTCCTTTAGGACATTGCCAATATGAAGATATACGCTATGCCCCACTATTGAAAAGATGAGCAAATGTTGTGAATTAATTCCCATGTATTTGGCTCATTTCTCAACTAGTGAATTCTATATAAGGTATCATCCATCCTATTGTTAAGAGGCCTGCATCACTGAATGGCACATCTTTGATATGGGCTGATCTTCATTGACAAGGCCAGAGATGTGCAGCCACGCATGCCTCCTGGGGGAAAAG